GTCGACGGCTGCAGGTGAGAAAAGCGCCTCGCACGCTTATGTGCACGCAGTCTTTTTTTTTTGTTATTCTACGCACACGTATAATTTACGACAAACCTCGTCGCTCTAGTACCGGCCTTTTGAGAGCGATGACCTTTAAGTGTGACGAATTTCTCGTGACCGCTCCCAGAAAGGTCGCGCTATCTTCTTGAATAACCGATAAGGGGAGGATAATGCACCGGCCTTATTACGCCATGCAACCAGGCGCCCGCTCTAATATAGGCGCACGTGTGTGTGTGTGATGTAATATCCAGAATTGTTGCGCAATGCGACTTTTATATGTGTCTACACATACGCGTGCGCACAGGATGTGGGGAAGGGCGAGGGGAAAGGGGAAGACATGGTGACGTCGCGGAGTGCTTCACAAGAGAAAATTCCTTGAGAGTGGTGTTGCATTTGTAGGCCCCGAACATTCTCGTTGGGAAAATTAAAAAAAAAAGTATATTAAAATAAAGTTTTATTTCTGTTGGCCGCGGTGGGCCTTTCCTAGCAAATGCTTCCCAGGCCGCGTGGTGCAGACCCCTGAACACAGAGTTAATATACAGTTATTATATTAACTTTATGCCTGAACGGCAACTGATTTGATTGATTTGTGGGGTTTAACGTCCCAAAACAACTATTTGATTATGAGAGACGCCGTAGTGAACGGCAACTGATTTGATTGATTTGTGGGGTTTAACGTCCCAAAACCACCATTTGATTATGAGAGACGCCGAAGTGGAGGGCTCCGGAAATTTAGACCACCTGGGTGTTCTTTAACGTGCACCCAAATCTGAGTACACGGGCCTACAACATTTCCGCCTCCATCGGAAATGTACCTTAGCCACTAGACCACCCGCAGGGCGCGGGTTCGAATCCCGGCTGCGGCGGCTGCATTTCCGATGGAGGCGGAAATGTTGTAGGCCCGTGTGCTCAGATTTGGGTGCACGATAAAGAACCCCAGGTGGTCAAAATTTCCGGAGCCCTCCACTACGGCGTCTCTCATAATCATATAGTGGTTTTGGGACGTTAAACCCCACATATCAATCAATCAAGCCACTAGACCACAGTGGCGGGGCTGAAACGGCAATTGGCGTCGTTAGTGTCTGTCCACGCACGCGTCCGTGCCGTGTTCGCAAGTGTACATCGAGTTGCACAGCTATCTTATAACTAAAACCAACTAGCCCAGCTGTGAACGCTTAGTCTCCCCCGCCCCCTACAACCAAACTCCGGCCACCGCGCCCTGGAGAGAAAACCGAAGCGCGGCCGCTTTGCGTCGCCGTTCCGCGCTTTGTACGAGCACTCGCTTGACCTCGCACGTCCGTTGTCCCTTTGGAAAGCGAAGCCCCCTTTGTGGGCGTCGGTGTTTCACTCCCCTGCAAGAGACAGAAAGGGCCGACGAGCGTCGCGAACTGCGCCGGCGGGTTTCGTAAGCCGCGTTCTTCTTCTTCTTTCGAGTCGAGAAGCTCCTCGTAGTCTCCGTTGCATGCGGCTGGCAGCAAAGCTGAAACCAGGACGCCGATCACAGTCCTTCTTTTCTGTACTGTGGGCCGCGAGCCGATGAGCTAGTTGCAGGGCCGCCGCCAGTACTTTTACAGCCGGGCTGTTAAGCTTTTTCCGTTGTCCGCGCGGATTGCGCAGAAAACTGGCCTAGCTACGGCAGCGTAAGCGATAGGCGGAGAAATGGGGGTACGCTGTTCAAGCTCCGCCCGTCTCCGAATACGTTCGATTTTGCGAGTGAACGTATGGGCGCACATGCGCACGGAATACCACACATAACAGCTTGGTGGGGGAGGGGCAACCCTGCCCAATCAACGGGGTTTTCAACACCGCCCTTCCCCTCACTTGTGTATATTTTGTTTCTTACAACCGATATCACGGCGGTTGTCGCGTTCTTGGTGTTTTTTAGAAAAAAAAAACACCGAAATGAAGCGTGGCCAAAGTTCGCATTACTTCGATATAACCAGTAATTCGCTATATCAGGCAATTCGCTATATCGGGCTTCGTTATAACGCGGCTCCTTTGCAGTATAACTCGTGCGCAGTGTTTGAGTCCTACCCAGGCCTAAATCGACTCGGGCACCCCCACAAACTAACAAACAAGCAAGCAAGTGGGGCCTCGGCAAGTATCACGTCGTTTGTGTGTGTGTGTGTGTGTGTGTGTGTGGTTGTGTGTGTGTGTGTGTGTGTGTGTGTGTGTGTGTGTGTGTGTGTGTGTGTGTGTGTGTGTGTGTGTGTGTGCAACGTGTAATACGCGCGTCGCATGCTGCGCATGTCGTCACCTTCGCCGCGCCTTCCGTGTCATTCATTGTTCGTTCGGGGTGCGCCTTCGAAGCACCCGCCTCCGCGGTACCGTGCGTCCAAGTCAGCGTCGCGTCTTTCGTGTCCGAGCGTTTTCGAGCAAAAGGAAAATGGGACGGATTCGCCGCACATACGAACCCCGCCTTCTTCGCTCTCGCTCTCTCGCCGCGGTTGCGATAGCGACAATCTCCGCAGGCAGAGCTGTGTAGCTGGGATTTCGCTGCGTCTCAAAAGCGACGGACTGGGTGAAGGCTGCACGGTGGAGAGCGGCGGCATCACGCATTCATGCCGTGCAACGACGGAGCGTGCGTGAACGTTCCAGCGCGCTACGTACGCTGAATGGACGGTGCGCGTCGCTGCGTTTTGTTGCGTGCGCAATCCGACGTCGTCGTCGTCAAACCGCGGACGCACGGACTTTCTCGATCTCGCCGAAACGCGCGTCACGGTCCCGAGCTTTCTTTACTTATGCTGCTCTTGCGTGACAGTTAGAAAACGGCATCCGCGTGGCGGCGTTCGAATTGTAGGACAGCAGCACCCCGCCCTTGCCTACTGAAACGTTCCGTATGCGATGTTTAAGAATTCCGTATGTTTCCGTAAGAATCTTATGGAAGTATAAGGAAAATATATGGAAAATTATGGAAAATTATGCAAATATATGGAAATTATGGAAATATATGGAAAATATATGGAAACATATTTATTCCGTATGGAAACATATGGAATTTATTGGACTCGCATACAGAACGTTTCAGTGGGGAATTTCGGGAATTTCTGAATTTCGCATCCATAACGCAGCATGCGGTCTAGAAATTACAATGAATTTTCGAAATCGACTACAAATTAAACGTCTTCTCTCAACAAATAATACACTCGTACATACTAACACACGTGCGAACATACACAAAAAGGTAACTGAACCGCACGAAAAAAAAATTGGTCTTAATCAACAGGTAGTGCTGGGTGCATGGCAAAGGAAAAAATGACTAGAATTGAGCATTGATCAAAATCTTTGCCTCCCCCCTTTTCTGCATACTCTGTTCAGCCCGGCAGCAAAGATTCGCCAAATAAGAGGCAAGTTCAACACCTCGCTGCCCTCCCCAGAAGGAATTCATTTGTCGCGAATGTCTCCCCACTGCGCGGCACTCACGGCATTCGCTTGTTATCTTGGCTTTCAGATTACCTAAATTTAAGGCAGCAGTTTGTCGCGTTTAACAATTCGCATTCGTCATCCCTCCCTGTCACATCAGGTGTGCCGCAGGGCTCGGTCCTTGGGCCTCTTCTTTTCCTAATTTATCTCAACAATGTTGTCGAAATAACAAAAAATACAAAGGTCAAACTCCGTCTATACGCCGACGACTGTGTCCTCTATTCTTGTATTAGTACCTCCCGTGACCAAATACAGTTAAATAATGTTTTTTCTTCTTTCCGTACCTGGAGCTCAACGTGGCAAATGGCACTAAACCTTAACAAAACGGTAAGCATGACATTCACAAACAAGAAGGATCCCCTACGTTTTTCCTATGGCCAGAACATGAAGCATGTCAACGAATACAAGTATCTTGGCGTAACATTCTCACCGAACTTAAAATGGCATAAACATATAAACCTAATCTGCTCGAAAGCGCTCCGAAAATTGGGCTTCTTGAAGCGAACGTTAAAAGATGCAACTCACGAATGCAAACTAACAGCATACAAATCCCTGATACGGCCTGTTCTTGAATACGCCTCCGTTGTCTGGTCACCTCACTGCGCATGCGACATAGCACACTTGGAAGGTGTTCAAAAAAAAAGCAATAAGATTCATATATCACCGTTATGATCACAATTTTTCGCCTTCGTCACACGCTGTACGTCTATCACTCAAATCACTTGAACACAGACGTACTTGCGAGCGTATCGACACTTTACATAAAATCGTGAACAAGATAATCACCATTGACATGCCCTTTTCCTTTGCCAACTCCGTTGCAAACACTCGCAGGTCAAACCCCATTAACATCACACCCTTCATGCCATTTCTAGATTGTTTTAAGTTTTCATTTTTGCCTTTCACAATGGAATTGTGGAATAATTTGGATGTTTCTCTCCGAAAGTTGCCTACCAATAGTTTTTTGAATGAACTACCAAACCATGTGTTTTGTTAGTTTAGTGTGTATTCACTGTTATGGATCCACTCCTGCAGTGTCTCGAACTGTGAGACAGCAGTATTTGTAAATAAATAAATAAAATAAAAAAACTATTTCAGCCCGGCAGGCATCTAGTCTAGGAGGCAATGGCTAAGCTAAGCCTACCTGCTTCAAAGCCTCCACCACCACCGCAACCAGGTGTAATGGGGTCGGTGTGATTGTGTACTCCAGCGTGTTCAAGCTGGTGTTTACCATTGCATCAAATGAATGGGGTCAGGTACTAATTCAATTATATGCAATATCTTGACACGCGATTCTGTACTTTAGGATGCTCCTGCTGATGTTTACCAATCAATGAAATGAATCAGACCACTTACTAATTCAATGAAATGTAATAGCTTGATTATGCGATTCTGTATTTTAGTGCACTCCAGTTTAAATTCACCAGTCGTTGAAATGAATGAGATCACATTTCGATGAAATATAGTAGCCTGACCCTAACGCTGCGAGTGAATTTCAAGCTCACATAGGACTCCTCTTTGCTTCTTTGTTCCAGCTTATGGCAAAGTGTTCCTGGTTCGCAAGCTGGGCGGCCAGGACGACCAGAAGCTGTACGCCATGAAGGTGCTGAAGAAGGCCACCATCGTGCAGAAGCAGAAAACCTTGGAGCACACGCGAACCGAGCGACAGGTTCTGGAAGCCATCCGCCAGTCGCCCTTCCTGGTGACACTCCACTACGCCTTCCAGACGGATGCCAAGCTGCACCTCATCCTCGGTAAAAATCTTGGCACTTGAAAACACTTGAGAAATAGTCAATTCAAATTAATACCTAATGCAAAATACTCGCAAGAAAGTATTTCATTGCTTGGAAGATACCCAAACAGTAGCACAGCCAAACTTTTTTCTTTTAGGGGAGGTAGGGTGGGGGGATTCCGATTGCAAATCTTGTTCACTTATGGTGCAAGCAACTTATGGTACACTAAACATAACATGAGTGAGGAACATAATTTAAAAAAAAGTCTACCACCTAAATGAACACCACTTGCACACACATATGCACATAAAATGTAAAACTTTTGTAGGGGGGGACGTGTTGATTCACCAAGTCACCCCGTAGCTATATGCAACAGTACCCAATAAATTACTCTATCTTGCTAGACTAGTAAAGGTTAGCGAAATTGTATACTGCACAAAACCATTGATGGCTTAGTGATGGCAAAGTTCTAACATGAGGTAAGGTAAAATCTGTCTTTGCAAGTTTCTATCCATAAATCTGGTTGAGTTTAAGTTAACCCAGGTTCACTACCTGCTTATGTTGAGCGAAAAAGAATGCAGTTAAACCTTGACATATCAAACCCAGATATAACGAAACATTGGCCATAACGAAGTAAATTAATAGTCTTCCATCAACCATAGTGTTGGGAATGTACCTTTATGACAAATTTTTGGATATAGTGAACATATTTTTGTGTGAGATGCAACTACGTTATAGTGAGGTTTTACTGTTGTGCGTATACCAGCCAGGAGGTTTTGGCTACTCTATTTTGCTGAGGAATTGCATTTTCCTCCCCAGGAAATTCAAATACTCAGTTACAAGGTACTCCGAAGTACAGCAAAAATATACTCCTCCATCAGGGTATCTGCAAGACACTCTACGGTAGTCTGAAAAAGCATCCGAGATAGAGTAACTGACCTTTCTTGTGTGTGAACATCGTAGTTAATGCTAGAAATCTGTGATTGCTGATGACACGTGAACTTTGTCTATGACGTGTGAACCTTGCTTTCTCGTATAGACATTTTAATCCATAAATTTTTTCATTGCATTATTGTAATTCAGGATTTCAGGATAAACATTATAATGTAAGACAAGAGGAGTAAAGGAAGCAGGCACCACCGTATTCTTAAATGCATTTAATTTTTAAAAAATGTTTTAAAGAACACTTATGATATGTAGTAGTCTATGTGAAGGTTAAGTTTTGTTCTTTACTTTTAAGACTACGTCTGCGGTGGCGAGCTGTTCACCCACCTCTTCATGAGGGAGCACTTCACGGAGTCCGAAGTCCGTTTCTACATAGCGGAAATTGTGCTGGCTCTGGAGCACCTACACAAGGTGAGCACTGACTTTGACATCCATAACCTCTGCCTTTCCCTCCCTCGATTTCGTTCCTTCTTCCTCAGCTTTTAGATGTTTCTTTCACATATACGTACCCATATACCGAGGCATTGTGGAGAAGTGCGGGGGTATGCTCGTAAAAGAATAACTATAATCGTGATGTTATACAATGCTACTCACATTTGGTCTTGCTGGACCTAACTACAAAGCCAAAAAGAAAATGAAAAGAAGTTTAATCGTGAGTACAAATAACAAAAGTCTCAGCCACACACAGTACTGCCGCAACTAAAGAATGAAAGAAGTCAACGTCTGCATGGAACTTTGCAGTCTTTAATTTATATGAAGGCAGTGGAAAAGATGGTTCTAATCATTTGCTGTCTAGTGATGAAGCACAAAATGCCTGTGTGTATGACAAACCTCTTTTTTTTTTTGAAAAAATTTCACATTCATGATTTGTGGCTGTTTTGATCAAAGGCTGAATCAAATAGGGCACTTTCACTCCGACATTTGAAAGTCTTGGAATTTTTCTTGCCCATACTACTAGCTGCCATCAGTCAAGCAACAGCAACTAGGAAGTAGTCATCATATCCAATATATCATAGGTGTCATGAGTGTAACAGAGTCATCACTATTACAAGTTACCTGGTGATTGCCACTGTAACGCCTAGCCATAGTTTGCAGCTGGCTAGCACTAATATAATGAGGTCATCGAAACAATCTGTGATACACATGCCCTTTTTCGTCTTTCGTCTCTGCTTGTTTTTTTTTTTTTACGTTGTGTAATTTCAGCCTCACATTGTTTGGGAAGCCCGGCTTTCTTAATAACACTATACTATACAGACACATAACATACTCTGCCAAACATGGGCCTACTTCTTTCCGACTTTCCACGGACATGTCTCGACAACTAATCTCCACAGAACCATTGTCCTTTGATATGAGTAATGGCCACTCTCGCGATGCGCACACGCACCAGGTGCAAAGCAGAGGGAACAAACCAAAGACCTCTAAAAGTGCTGTGAGGGAATGGCCACAGCTGATGACTAAGTTTAAGAGGCCGACTGTGGTCCTTCTTTTATCGTCCCACAGGTGGAAGGGAGGTTGCAGAACTTTCCGTGCAGTACTGACCCTGCAAGGGCCTTTACGACTCTCGCCTATGAAGCGGGCATGGCTTCTTCTTCGCTCGAAATTCGTCTCGCCACCGATTCTGCATCGTTCGAACGAGAGAAAGCGGCAGCTCACCTCGAGTTACCACTGGGCAGTTGAGTGGTGGTGGTGTTGCTCAATCCAATCCCACAGCCTCGCGATGGCAAGGTTAGATCTGGGGGTGAATATTAAAAAGACCGTCTCACAGGAGTAGTCCTTGGGGAGTGTATCACGGAAGCAGCTCGTCTTGTCTTAGAACGAGGAAGTGCTGCACGCTCCCTTTCCTTCGTCCCTCTAGAGGTCACTGCGTGCTAAAAATGAAGAAGTGAAAGTCAAAGCTACGTGGTCATTTTCTTAACTCTTTAATGTCCTCCGAACGAAGTGTCATTCGTGTCGAGACTTACTAAAGTGGCATACTAAAAGGCATATTAAAGTGAAGCACACAGAAGGGGCATCACAGAAGAGTTTTTTTTTTTTACGTAGGTGATTTCATGTATAAAATATTTATATTTTGATATTTTTACAATATATTCAAAGAAAAACAGAGATCCTTTATATACACAATGTTTCGCTGCGGATTCAATATATGCGGGTTCAGATGTATGCAGGTTGAAAGTAACCTGACTGTTTAATGTTGCACTCGGAAATTTATGAATTAAATTGGCCACAAAAGTGTCATGGCCTGTTTTTTGAATGGAGTATGTTAGGGCTCACAGGGTGAAAATATGGACACGTAGAGAGAAGGAGAACTTAGAATGATGTTTATTGCAGGAAAAATAGCGCAAGTAGGTAATTTCTAATGTATTCATTTTTGTAAACATGATGAGATGAAAGCCTAGTGAGAAGATGCATATACGGAAAGCGCCATATCGATCAGCAGCGAAAGATTCACACCAGCAATACCGTCACAAATTGGAAAAAATGAAGTACAGGATAATGTCTCATTGTGACATGTTCATAGCTGAAAACTTTTGTCTAAAAACCCCAAAAAGCTTGTCTTATTGTTGTTTTTTTGGTGCTGCTGTTGTTATAATGTACGGCTTTGCTCCCATCTGATATGCGTCTTCTCTCTCTCTCAACCTCCCTGCCTTCCCTCCTTTGTGTTTCACAGCTGGGTATAATCTACCGCGACATCAAGCTGGAGAACATCCTCCTCGACAGCGAAGGACACATCATCCTGACAGACTTCGGACTGAGCAAGGAGTTCCTTCCGCATGAGAAGGCAAGTAGCAGCGGTGGCAGGCAGACCCCGTGACCCACTTTCGTGGAAACCCACCGCACATTCACTCCCCTCTCCCTCTGCACTCTCCCACTCTTGTTCCACTCTCCACATGCCAGCCATCACGACTGTTCCCTCCCTCGTCTTCATGTTGTTCTCTTCCTTCTCGGAAACTGCCGAGCGGAAAAGAAAACGCAGCAGTCAGTGGTCAGGCCTACCTTGTCCTTCAAAGGGGCGTCCCGCTGCTACTGCACGTTTTCTTCCGGAGTCACACCTGTTAAGTGCTCCCGTGGCTTTGAGCCTTTGTCGATGGTGATGCAAGGGAAAATTCCTCGTCGTTCTTGTTTTTCGTCTTGTCGTCCTTTTGACGAGGCCTTCTTCCGAGGCGGGACAAGACATTGTAGCCTGCTTGACTAGGTTAAAGCGATTGTCCTTGGAACTTGGTTTTTGCACTGCTGCGAAGCGTGACAGGCAATATGGCAGACTGTCTATAAACGCGTGAAATGTAGTACATAATTTGATGCCAAGGCTATGGAGACCAAATGTAAAGCAAGTGAACAGCTTATAATAAAATTCTTAGGGCAATTATCTGAATTACAACTTAAATAATGATATAATTAAATATTGCAATTGGTCATGCTATGTTTCTTCATATCGCGAAATTTTACGACCTACCCAAATTGCGTCCAATAGTTATCTGTAGACAACTAGCATTCCAAACAAAGGTAGAAAAGTATTTTTGAAATTTCTGCTCGAATGCCCCACATCCGACATCTTGTTAAACATACCAGTGGCTTCACCAAAGCAATCACGTATTGTGAAATACCTCAATAAGAACAGTAGACTCACTAAACGGAACCTGAAGGAATCAGCAAAGCATGTTACATTTATAGGAGTTTCCTTTACTGACACATGAACACGGATACAGGTTTTTAGTAGAAAACCAATAATATTAGAACATAATTTGTTTCATTTAAGCAGCAGTTCTGTTCAAGAGATTTCCGTTCACTGAGAGTTTATTGTTGGCTCATTGGCTCAGCTCTCATGGTCTCTTCCTTATGGCAAAAATAGGCCAGGCCTCCAAATACTCATGATGATGTTCTAGGTATACTCTACATTCTTTTTTTTGCAATATATTCAATTATTTTGTTTATATTTATCTGCTTATTCAGTTATTTGTCAAAAAATCTACATCATCTTGTTGGTCATAATAGCCAGAGGTGTGAAGCAGTAGCAAAACAATAATATTGTCTAGATAAAGAGAATTCCCACACTGAACGCAAATATGTTAGCAGAATTCTAGCTGTCCTTGTTTGCATCAAATGCTATTCTTGTGAAGATGAAGGAAACATTTGAAGTGGAACACTGACAGCCAAGGGTGTCTGCAGAACTTTTTGCCGGCGGTTGTCATACGTGGGAGGGGGGCATCAAGCATATGCAGCCTTTCTTTCACTGCCTTGTCATGACCAGCAATATTTGTCAATAGTGTGTAATATGCAAAGTTGGCTGCCAATACTGACGGTCATTCCGCATAAATATGCGGGACCTGAGCGTGCTGATCAAGCTGTTTAGCTTGTTGCTACTTCACAGAACAATATCCGAAATTCTAAGGAGGAAGGGGGGGGGGGCGGTCGTCCTCCTCCCCCTTCTTGCACTCCTCTCCGGATGTCCATGCTGACAGCACTAAGCCTCTTACACAATGCCTACCATTAAGTCAAATTTAGAAACTAATCATTGTCCTCCTCCTATGTCACCATTGCAGGACCAGAGGGCCTTCTCATTCTGCGGCACCATAGAGTACATGGCACCCGAAGTTGTGCGGGGCGGAAGTGCGGGCCACGACTTCAGCGTCGACTGGTGGAGCGTGGGTGTGCTCACGTTCGAGTTGCTCACGGGGTCATCACCTTTCACAGTCGAGGGCGAGCGCAACAACCAGGCCGAGATCTCCAAGTGAGTGTGGCTTCGACCGTGAAAACACCAACTTTATGTCGACTTGCTTGCAAATGTTCACCATACCGTAACTTTGTAGAAAGCATAGCGAAAAAAAAAAACTAAAACAAAATTAAATGGAGACAAGGAAAGTGCCAAATGAACACTGTTTGTTACCATACTCCTTGTCTCTGGTTTTTGTGCTGACTTACCCCCGTATTCAGAAATGCTGATTGACTCGAATTTGACTTGCCACTGCCTCAAGGAGGCACATTCAAAATGAATTTGTGTTGCAATGAAGGCGGTGGCTAGTGAAGGTCATGTCAAGGAGTGTTTCTGAATACGGGGGTTACATTAAAAAACTAAGCTAGCTGACAAATTTTCGTGCTGCTTACTATGCCGTACCAAAATGCTTAGAATGCCATAACATTTGTTCAAATTTATTTAATACATCTATTTTTGTTGCAGTACTTAGAAGTGTGAAGAACACAAGATGCATAATAAGGAAAAACCAAAGTGAATGGGTGCTCACTTCAGACCAAACACTAATATTGATATGTGCTCTTGTCTTGTGTGATTCTTTTTTATTGTGTGTCCCATGTTCTTAGCACTTCTAAGTAGTACCATCCTGGATCCTTGCGAATTGGCTCTAGTATCTATTCTTCTAAACCATTTTTGTTGCACAGCACGCATTTCTGATTCCAATTTATTGTGTCATGCTGATTTACCTTGTAATGTCTGTGTGATGTCACAGATTTCAAAAGCATGTGCTTTGCAATTAGTAACATTGACTCCACAACTTTTCCTGGAACTTACAATGTTCACTGCCTAAACCCCATAGAAGTCAAATTTTCTTCAATCTTTCAGTTGTTCTTTATCACAAGTAGCGTTAACTACTTGTGATAAACAACAACCCATGGTTCCAGAGTGTTTGGGCTATGCTGAGTTGACCCCATTCGGTGATTAGCTTGGATGCCATTTATCGCGTTGTCTCGCATTATTACGTGCACGTCAGTAGCGTACAAATGGCGTGTCTGTGGTATTTGTATCGCTGCATCCGGCTGACATGCCAAAATGTGTTAGATGGAGAAGCCTTTGTCAGGGCTCATATTCCTTCCTGAGCTTATACTTCTAACTGTAACGCTTGTTAATTTATTGAACGACTAATTGCATAATTGAATGATTCATCTCTACATCTATTCATTCATTCATTCATTCATCACATCAGTAAACAAAACGTCACGGTCGATAAGTGGCTGTGTTATGTATGAATGAACGCATCGTTGCAGGCTCAAATCACGGCTGCCATGATTGCGTTTCTATGGCAGTAGAATGCAAGAATGCCTCTGTGCATAATTTTTAGTGTATCTGTTATAGCCAGTGTGCTTACTTCTAATATTTGGCCCTGTAATTAAATTTGACTTATGTCACCGACAGATTCCATGAGCTGGCTAGTGCCAGTATGAGGGATAGGAAACCCAGAATGTGTGTACTACCATGAAACCCCCATTTCAGGCCGATGGGTCCCAAAAATTTCGAGGATCCAGACGAGTCGGACAGGGAGTGTATGAGGTGAGCAGAGTGTGTTGGGTGAACAGACGCGGGCATGCATGCAGCTGTCGGCAAAACTTTTTGCCTTTTTGTGCTCTGACTCGATTGGCCACTCGCCGTGGACACTTTTACAGCGAAAACGAATTTACCCCGAGAAACGTGCGCTCCCTGTTGTTGACCAGGAAGCTTCGTGCGAGTACGAATTTCTCAATCTAGCCTTGCATTTTTCGTGTTAGAATGGTGCAGTGCTCCGTGGTGCGAGTTATCCTGTCGTGTAAAAATTTTGTCGCTTGCCACTACCTTCATAGGAAGTGAAACAAAGTCGGAGTGAGTAGTATTCGCAGTGGTGTGGCAGTACTCTGGGTGCGATGACCATAGATGTCTGGCATTTTGTGCCTTGACTATCTTTTACACACGTATGCATCTGCAGCACTGCTGCATCAGCATACGTGTGTGCATACTTTGCACCTTCTTCATCTTCATCCTCATCTGCATCTTCACTCAGTCTTTCCCCTCTTTTGCTAAAAGGGTACTGACACAGTATCTTTCTGTTTTTTTTTTGCATCAAGTGAGAAACACAGTCATCAAAAGTTGAGAAAATGCATCAATGGGCGTGAGTGCACCCTGAAAAATGAATTGCAGCCCGTCTTTAAAAACTAGTTTAGGTTCCTGCCCTGATGTGACGGTACCATATGAGCTTGTTGTCATGTGTTTTCACAAGATAATGTGACGCTTTAACGACTGATGTCCTGCGTGGCTCCATTGGTGACTCGTGTTTTGGTGATGGGAGTGGCCATGCTTTGGCGCCCAAAGTCATCACAACAGGTCATACTGGTGCGTGACGTCACAAGAATTGTGACTAAGATAACGTAATTCTAGTGTCGATTTCAGTGGTTGGCACCATGTTAAGATGGATCTTAATGTCAAAATAAACTATCTCATCAGCATTTACTGATTTTCGCTCTTGCACATAGCCCTCTCCACAAACAAAAGGTTCGTATGGCAGGGAAAACTCATGGTGTCAGTACCGCTTTACCGCTCTTGTGCCTTCTCGTAACTTTGTAATGTAGGGTAACTTTGTTTGTCTTTGTGACTCTATATACCTCTCTCTCATCGTCTCTGTGACACTAGCCTTGCGACTGTGGGCAGTGCGGCTCGGCACAGGACTACGAACGCATCTTTTTTTCTTAATGCCTGTGCCTTTTCGCATGTTTTCAGGAGGATACTCAAGAGCCAACCACCGATACCGGATCGCATCACAGGTGATGTTAAGGACTTCATCCTGAAACTTCTCATCAAAGACCCCAGGAAGAGGCTTGGCGGCGGGATCGAGGACGCCGAGGAAATTAAGAGGCATCGCTTCTTCAAGGTGCGTTGAACTGTTCAGTTCTGTTTCGAGAAATCGGGCAACAATATGGCTCGAGAAACAAGACGAGGATGTAAGGAGGTAGGCACAGCAGCGACTAAAACGTATGTGGAAGGAAAAGATGTTGGGAATATCAGTGTCTTCTCTGTTCTTGTTCTTGGGTAGATTGTGCACAACCATCCTTTCTTTGCAAGTGTGAACTGACTCGGCCAACAGCAAGGTTTCTCGAGACTAAAATGTAGCTTTCCTTGTTGCTTTTTCACGTCACTGAATACCACTAACGTTGCTAACTGGCTTAGACTAACTAGCAATCTAACCACTCACCTAACTAGCCGAGACTGGCTGGTATTGATTGCAACATGCTGCAGCATCAAAGGGCTATTGAAGATTCGGGAAGTAAGAGATACCAAGGATGGTGAAACAAGATGCTCTGAATATCGGTGGTTAGAGCAGTGTACAAGACCAATTCAGTTAGTTAATGAAGCTTGACCGGGACCAGACAAAACACTCAACAGTTCTGAAGCATGGACAAAGAGATTTAAGTGTGTCAATGAGACGATGATGGCGACATTCTGCACACGACGGATGCAAGTCCAACAGGTGTGTCGTAGCTGCTCAGTAAAGGAAGTGATGCCAAGTTACTACTTATAGATTACATAGAACTTTTAACCAAGCAAAGAAATGTCATGGGCTCAGGATGTTACTTATTTTCAGACACCTGCAAATAATTTTTTTCGATCACATTCTCTGTCATCAGTGTTGCATAGAATTCAGTGTCACTAGTGTTGCATATAAAAACCTCCAAATACAGCGTGACAATGAAAAGAGGTATTAAAATTGTTTGTTTTGCCATCCTTTATATATTTATAAGTACAGATGGGGAGATCGTAGAACGAAAGCTGTCTTTGAACAGCTTGATAAATCTACAACCCTTTCATTTGGCAGGCAGGCGATATCACATATAGGTACAGATATATAGCAGCATACTTATGCCTCCACATTAGGCTTGTGCGAATAGTGAGTTTTATGTTCGAAGCAAATTCAAAGCGAATAGTGATTTGGTCTGAATAATTTTGAATCGAATTCGAATAGTACATATAACATACAATAAAGAAAAATGGGCAGATTTGTCATTACCCAACCTATTCGCAAAGTGTACTTTAGAAATTGAAACAAGGCCTGTGCTTATGCCATTCCTCATGATGAAAACAGCTTTTAATAATAGTAGGATGTGACTTTCGGTAGAAAGCAAGTGATAACCAGTAAAATATGTTGCATTGTAAAATTCAATATACTTAGAGCATATAAGCCAGTATAACAAGCTTTTAAAGTGAAATGAAATGGGTGGGATGAATGATGGGGTTAATACGTTCATCTAATTACTAGTGCAAGTCAGTGCAACCGGCGGGAGGGAATAAAACAGAGGACACATTGAGCGCTGAACTTCAGCGCTCTGTGTCCTCTCTTCTGTCCCTTCCTGTTGGGCTGATCTGCACGCATACCTTTGTTGTACCAACAAGCCCAATCCTAGTCTTCATTGTTCATTTAACATTGAAGACTAAGATTGCTTCAAGGCAGTGTGAATTTCCCCTGGCTAGGTGTTACCATGGCTCACCATTCCTCAACTGCAGTGAAACAATCTTTACAGCGACTACAGGCGGACTGATATGCACCTATTCGTTCATTTCGAATACTTTGACGTTTTACATATTTAAAATGGAATCAAAGCAAATTTAAATACTGTACCATTCATTCAAATATGTGAGGCAAATTTTAATACTCTACCATTCATTCGAACATTGGCGCCATTTGAATATTCGCACATGCGGATTCAACGTGTTTCTGCTCACTTTCAACGTACAGGGAAAATAGTTAAAGTAAAAATTCTTTTTTTTTTTTTTTCACCTATTGCAGGGAATCAATTGGGAGGACCTTGCAGCCAAGAAGGTTCCCCGCGCCCTTTGTTCCAAAGGTGGACGATGAATTGGACGTGAGCAACTTTGCGGACGAGTTCACCTCTATGGTTCCCGCCGACTCACCGGCGCTGGCACCTATCAGCGACGACAAAGTGTTCAAGGTGAGTTTGCAGTCTATGAATTTCGAAAACTCTTTCTTGAGCTTGACCGCTAGGGCCGTTCCGACGAGATATCCCTGCAACCCTTCATGGTTGTTTGTAAACTTATTAAAGACATCTAGCTATCCTTGCTTCCGAAATCTACGAATAGCTTGATAGCATGCGTGTGTGAAGCAGCCGACTTGTCGTCTTGAATGCTTATTGCGTCTGTATGTTTGCACAGGGCAAACTTAACGAAGACAGGTCAGAGGACACAACTCATTAATTCTTGTTCTATTTGCACTGTGCAAGCATGTTGATGCTAAAACAGCAACTAGCCCAAGCTACCATTCTAGCAAGAGATCCAGTAGACTTGCGTGATTTTGCACAGTTGTACAGCATTCAGCAGGTATTGCACTGGATTTCTTGGAGTATCGCTTGGTATTGCATCAGCTTGTAGGAATCTTAGTGTCGAATTGCATGCACATTGAGATATTTTGTTGTAATCAGTGTGCACTTGAACTCAAACCTTGATCTGACGAAATACGGCTATAATGAAATAAACGAAGAATGTTTTTGCAATAGACAGTGTTAGGAATATACCTTCACAATGAATTTTCGGATAGTAAACAAACTTATTCTCGATTAGGATGCAATCTCGTTATAATGAGGTTTGAGTGTACAGCGTGCAATTCTGAGCCTCTTCATTGCAACTACTTGTGATGCCACTTTGCTTGCCCTCTCAAGAGCACTGCCGAGCATTCGCTTCAGTCCACAAAATGTTGCCTCTGCAGGGTTACTCCTACGTTGCACCATCAGTGCTGTTCAACGAAAACATCCTCACCGACGACCTCCTCGGCTGCGCCCATGAGAGCCGGCCGAACATTAACCAGCTGCTTGCCACCAAGTTCAAGGTGAGCCACTGCTTTCCAAGTGTTCCATCCTGTTCGTGCCTTGGGCTTCGTTCATGGACCGAAGAACTTGTAATCACTCAGACAACTTGCGTCTAACATGGGAAAATGGCTGGGTCACAGTACAGTACATACTGGGTCACAGTACTGACACTAAATTTCGAAACTCCACTCGGTTACACTCTTCCCCTAGTACTGCAGCATGCCTGTCATTTTTCTGTGCAACAGCGCAATGATTTGCCACTTTTGTTCTAAGCATAAGCACATCTTCGTCGGCAATACAATTACTATGCATATTACCAATTGAAAGTTCGTCGTTCTTTGTATTTCACAGAACAGTAAAGTCGGAATTCTTGTTTAAATTTTCCAAAAAGTAAAATGTTTTAACCGGGAAAGTAGTGAAACAAACATGAGTCTGTACGAGCAAGTGATATGCCTGATATCTGTGAAATCTGCCTGACATCACCTGATCAGCGGGCTGTTATTCATTATAGTAATTATATTTACTTTGCGCTGCTTTCTCGGACGGTTTTCACCTCTTAGATAGCAGAGCACCGAGTACCCTAAATCCTTAAGCGCTTTTTCTAAATACACAGATTCTGCCTGGGTGGGACGGTGACCGCTGTGGGCAGAGCTTACATTTATTCTTAGGCTGTAGCCAACTATAGGTGCTTGTGCTGTATGTGAGTCCTTGCACACTTCTGACCGATTACTAGTGACGAGCCTGGGCTGTAAGATATGTTAAAGTGGTTTTAAAGTAAGGATCAGCGCTCATCGTAGTTATCCGCATCAATTGGACATCTTCTCTGGTTTGATGTAGACAGAAGCCTTGCGTGGCATTCCACGAGCGAGGCGAGTATCGTCGGCATCATAGAAAATTTGGGGGGTGCACACAATACCCCTGACTGCCACCCGACCAAAAGCAGGCTTTCCAAACGTGTGTATGTCTGTATGAGGATGAACTGTTAAAGAAGTATACTTAACGTCACGAAAAAAATAACGAAAATTTTCTCTAGGAAGGAGATTGATGGTTCTGGGTGAAGCTGACATTTTTTTTTTCTTTAGTTGTGACCAACTCTTGCATTATCACCACGGGAGCTCAGCAGCTGTAGCATGGGACTGTTCAGCATGGTATTGTGTAGTACTTGACTACTGGCCTCAGAGAGTGTATTTTGATGAGAGAGAAATTCAGAAATTCCTGTGCACTATTCAGATCTAAGAGGATTTCACAGAACTTTTACGTGGTGAAGATTAATCTAGGACCACATTTTTTGCCAAACACATCATGGATTTTTGCTCTCATGGTATCAGTTAAATGTCTTTCACTAATATCTTTATTATTGCTTTTGGCATCGGCATTGGCATTGCTTTTGAGCCTTTTTAGAAATAGAAAATCTTTTTAAATGTGCAGAATTCTTAAAGAGAAGAGAGAGTAAGATGGGGCAGAAGGGTTTTCCTTGTCAGATATTCCAGACAGGCACCTGGCTGCAATAAATTCCTCTTTGTATTACAGAACTCTGCATTCTTTCAAAACTACGACATTGTTGGGAAGGAAGGCATTCTGGGTGACGGAAGCTTCTCAATCTGCAGGTGAGTTCAGCGCAACCCATGTTTTTTCTTTCTGCGTAACGGTCACAGGGACAGTGTCCGAAGGCCGAAATATTACTCTGAATAAAAATCCTGGCTTCAGACAGCGCAGAGGCGGAGCAGCCTACATTGCTTAATTTCACATTTCTAAATACAGGCGAATGTGCCAAAAAAAAATGTGCTAGTACACTCAAACCTTATTATACTAAAAGTTCATCTTACTTGAAGATAATTTTGTTATACCCGAAAATTCGTTAAATAGGTCTATTCCTAACACTGTATCTATTGCAAGACTATTCGTAATTTACTTCCTTATAACTGATATTTCATTATACCCAAGTTGGTTATATCGAGGTTTGAGTGTATAGGATGCTGAAACTGTGAAGACATGCCACCATTCCTGTTTGTTGCCCGTGACATAGAGACGATAGGCGTGACCCAGCTAGAACATGCTGTCTATCGGCGTGAAACGCAAGTTTAGGGGGTCCTGAAATGTCTCAAAAGTGGGCGTGTCTAGATACACATACATCGTAACGACATCAGTCGGGTGTGCTTGTCGCAACGTGACGTGCCAGATTATTCATCCAGCAGTCTTGGGAAGAAAACGCATTATCAAGATGGGGGTGAGGAATGGTGAACGAGGAGAAAGCCGTAGCTTTAGTATTCTAGTGAGGAGACTCGGTTCTGGTAAACATTTTACATCGTCCAATGCGGTTGGAAGATACTTTGCATTGGTAAGACTAGCTAAAGTTCTTCTTTCTTTTATGGAAATGTAGCATATATATTTTACCTTGCCGTGATGGCTTCTTGTGTTTTGTTAAACATTTGTTGTTGCTACAAACAACAGCAAGTGATTCAAGGCTCTTCCTGAGAGGTGAACTTTGTAATTTTTATACTTGCAGTATGCAGTTCAGTATTAATGCTCTCTGTGCGTTAGGGGCATAGGCAAAAATGTTTTTGGGGGGGGGGGGGGGAGAGGGGTCTACCATGCTTTATGTATGTTTGTGCACGTGTTTGTATGTGTGCCACATGCGTGTACATATTAGCAAGCAAGACAGAAAAAAAATTCAGGGGGAGGGGGGTTGAACTCCTCCCCCCGACTATGCTCCTGCTGTACATTGAGGGTATTACAAATAGAAACAATACGAGTGACTGAATGTTCACATTTGCGAGGTTGTCTACCCTTCGTGAGGTTGTAATTAATCAATTTTTTTTGTAACCTCGCAGGAAGTGCGTTCACAAGAAGACTGGCATCGCCTACGCCGTCAAAATCGTGAGCCGCCGCATCGACACCACCCAGGAGGTGCAGCTTCTGAAGATGTGCCAGGGACACCCCAACATTGTGCAGTTCGTGGAGTCCTTACAGGATGAGGTGGGTTAGTTTTACTAACTCGCTAAGTTGGCAAATTCTTTATTGCATGAAGAGTTCATTAAATGGAACCTATAGCGACCGTGAAAATATGTTCCATTTAATAGGAGTTCTGTTTACTGAGAGACAAGTAAGGCTGCAAAATACGAGTAGGAAACCAATCGTGTTAGAGAAAGTTGTTTCGTTAAACAGGTTTTCAGCTCGTGTTAACAGCTCGTTAAACAGGTTTTCATTTACTGAGAGTCTACCATACATTGCTTGTTGACCTATTTGAAAAAATCTAGCTAGGGATCGACAACTGGCCAGAACATGCCATAATAGATCAGTAGTAGAAATGAAAAGAGCATAAAATATAGTGTTATATTCTAGCATTTTCTTTTACGTCGTGACTAGGTTATTTATTTTTAAATCATGCTTAAAATGATGAAAAACTGTTTTGCTGTGCAGCGTGGCAAAAGAGTGTTGAAGCTGGATTATGAAATATGAAGTCGATCACTTTACTGAACGTCGTCATGTATTCTGATGCTGTCGTGCGTGCCAGTCTTCAAAATTAGTGTATGCATGTTATCATCCAGCCGCGCTCTGTGCTGCTTATGAGAGTAAAAAAAAGTAGCACGGTGAGAAAGTTTCCTTAAAGGCAGTTATGTGTGTCAGCTTCTAGTTTCTTGCCCCCGTATTCATAAAGCTCTTTCACCTGAACTTGACATGAAATTGCCTTCAATGCAGCGTGTTTGAAATGCGTCTGTGCATTTGTACTGCCTTGGCACCGGCTACAGAAAGCGCGTTCGAAACACGTTTGTGCTGCGTTGAAGTCGGTGGCAAATCAAGTTAAGACAAGCAGCAGTTTCTGAATACGGGGGTTAGGTTCCTTTTCCTTACTCTAGTGACCAGAGCCTGCAGCAACACTTGCATGAGAGAAGTGTGGCAGTTTGGGCTAGTTGGTATGACATGACGATAGTTATAGCGCGAGAACAGAACGACGACAAAGAGACAAGAAGGACACAACAAGAGACAAAAGAGGAGAAGGTTAGAAGTTACTGCTCGTGTCCTTCTTGTCTCTTTGTAGTCGTTCTGTTCTCGCGCTATAACTATAGTCATTTACATGAGAGAGTTTTATCCCACCTAATTGCTGAAGTGCTTGCAACGTGGAGGGATGAACATGCTTAGAAAAGCAGTATGAGGAATGAGCGTTTTTGGTGGGGAACATTCGTGTGAGAGAGCCAGCTTACAGGTGCTTTCAAAGGGTACGCTGTTTTGCGAAACAACAATTTCCAAGTTTCCTTCCCACAGGCACACACCTACATCATCCTTGAACTTCTCACTGGCGGGGAGCTCCTCGAGAGGATACGCGGGCGGGCGCGCTTCACGGAAAGCGAGGCGTGCCGCATCTTCCGCCGCCTCGTCTCCGCCGTGAACTTCATGCACACGCGAGGTGTCGTGCATCGAGACCTCAAGCCCGAGGTGAGTTTTCCAAAGTATGTGCAGCTAAAGGGCTTGTTGGTACGTCTTCACTCAAAGCATGAAATTCCAGCTGAGGTCATCGCATTGCAAGTGGTACGGAAAGATAAAAAAAAATTTGATCTCTTAGGCCTAGGTGTACATTGGTACAATGAGGAACTCCAACAGGTTGACATATAACTCAAACTTTGATACAACAAACACGAACGCAACGAAATATTGATCGTAATGAATTAAACTAAGAATATTTTCTCCTCAATGTCTTTATGCTGTTTTTTTTTTTTTGCTATACATGTGTACCAACCAACAAGCTTACACTCTCCTGCCACATCCCTTGGCACTTCCTGAACTGTGCCACTGTGATTTTGCCGTTGAAGTTTTCATCTATTTCTCTTTCTCCTTATTTTTCTCTTAGTGCAACACTGGGACGTTCAGGCATCCTACTCTTTGCACTGTGTTAATACGCGTATTGGCCTAGCTTGCAGTATGAATGCTTGTTGCTTTACTAAATTTACAAGTGTTGCTTTGATATCCATAGCTTTATCGAAACCTCATTGCTTTAACAAAGTACGCACACAAAGCATGCAATCGCGTGCATGTTGCCGAACGGCACGGAGGGGGCACTGTGCTTTGCCCCTTCTAATGATTGGTTCTAAATGTGTTTTTTGTTCGACCTTACAGAACCTACTGTTCACGGACAACTCTGACAATGCCACCATCAAGGTAGTGGACTTTGGCTTTGCGCGGCTAAAGCCGCAGGACAATCAGCTTATGAAGACGCCATGCTTCACGTTGAACTATGCCGCCCCGGAGGTCCTGCAGCAGGCCAGACCGGGCAACAATGCCGCTGCGGGCTACAACGAGTCCTGTGACCTCTGGAGCCTCGGTGTCATTCTGGTATGTGCCGCTTGTTTTTAACGGAGGAGACACTTATGCCAAGTTCGTGAGTTGTGAATATTGAAACGAAGATGCGCGAGCCAACGGGGCGCGGAAGAAGGCCTGTCTCAGAAGTACGCTGCTATTTCACTACGTCATTTCATCTCATCTGTAAATAAACACAGTCACTCGTAACAATATAAAGTATCATTGCCATGAACGGCATGTACCCTAAAGAGGCCCTGAAACACTTTTTCTAGTAACCATGGATTGAATTCACTGAAAGAGCTTATTGCCTCACAAATTCAACGCCACAAAAATTTTAAGAATCCGTCCAGTGCGAGCGGAGTTACAAAGATTTGTCACACGCGGCAATCGCATTCTCTCTTCTCTTGTCCCGACGAAAGCGCTGGAAGCTAAGCTGGGAGGAACGGTAGGGCTTCAGAAAAATGTCACCCGCAGCTCATAGCCTTGAGCACTTTTTTCTTTTTTCATTCGAATGCGCAGCTTTTTCAGTGTGATCGCCGCGCACACGCGTGGACAAGTATCGGCCTTTCGCAGCGATCTCTGTAACGAGCGAGCGCTCTATGTTCAAATCAGGCCAATGGCTGATAGATGGGCTGGCTGCGTGTGATTTTTGGGCATATTGCATGGATTTATAGAGAGAGGAGAAAGCTATTTTTAGCCGACTTTGATAATTTATTGTGAATTCCAGGCTGCGTGCTGTGCTATAATATTTGGACTCGCGTGTTTTCGGAAGCCTCTACTACCGATTGGCAGCATTTTCTGACCATGCTCAAAAAGTGTTGCAGGCCTATATAAACTACAGCTATGAGAGTAGCAAAATTTTGGTTGTTAAGCGAATTTTAATATTCAAGTGCGAGTGCGAATCGAATAGAATATTTTTTGAATGCTTCGAAGCAAAAATGGAGGAAAAAAAATTATGGAGAGAATTTTGTAGCATGTTCTGATGAGATAGCAATATGGAAGTGTTTCTTTTGGCTAGGTTGATGCGGGGTGGTGCTTCACGGCTGTCTATCAAGACTGAGGCAATGCAGAGGCCGAATTGTATATATGTGTACATGATTTGGTGCAACCAAAGTGTTGTCTCAACAATTTACACGTAAAAGGCAACTGATGCTAGTTCCTCAGCCTTTCCTGCTCTTTCAACTTTCATGATGTGCCGGACAAGGGTGTGCTCTCTTCAAGTCCGGAATTCCAAATCTGCCTCATAGACGTCAATATCTAGCTGAAAAGAACATTTGAAATTTTGGATGCTAAAAATCTTCAGCGCTCGATTTTTCGGACCTTCTAGACAAGTAGTGCTGTTTTGGACCTTCAGGTCCAAAGCAGCAATAATTGAGCTCCCACCTTGCCGCATCCCTCATTTCCATTTTGGAAGGAGCGCTTTTATGAATCAAACATTTGCACTCGTGACAGAGTTTGAAAGGCAGCTTTGCCACATTACGAAAATGTAATGGGGTGAGGCATAGTGAAAATATGAAGGGGCCACTGCTCATTAATGCCAACTGTATTTGACTTCGGTAAGTTGTCTATGAATATTAAAATTCCGGTGCGAATGGAATAGCAAACACTATTTAAAAAATAATCGAAATTTCGAATATTCGCACACGCCTACTTCTAAGCCTAGAATGTGCAACACGGTAACTCAGCTGGCATGCACTCCCCTTGTCCTCTTTTTTTCTACTTCTCTCTCAAAATGTGCACGTCAATTTCTCTGATGGGAGAGAGAGAAAAAAATAAATATATAGAGGGACAGCATTGAAGGAAAGAGAGGGGCACGAAAGAAGGGGAATTAATAAATTAAACAAAAAAAAGCTTAAGGAGACAAGAATCGTAGCCACTCCGCTATTCAGGTACTCTAGCAGAATAAGCGATTATGCGAACCATATGGTTGCGTTCCTATCAGCAAAAGAACAAAAAAGAACAGAAAGAAGGACAAATAAAGACAGAAAAGAAAGTGGAAAGAGAGAACGAGCACAGCCATGCATAGTAGTACTATTATAGCCAGTGGGTGAGAAAGAGAAGTGAGGGTGGGGAAAAGTGCTGTGAGGCTGAAGAGGGGACGGCCATCCTTCCCACCATCGGTGCTCTAAGGGGCCCTGAAACACTTTTCCAAGTAGCCATGGAATGAATTCAGTACAGCAGCCTCACAAATCCACCGTCGTAAAAATTTTTGCAATATGTCTGTCTAGATTTGTCCCATCCTGCCATCGCATTATCTCTTCTTTCGTCCCGATGAAAGAACTGGAAGTAAGAAGGGAGCGATGGCATGGGAAAAAAATATGTCACGTGCAATTCATAACATTGAGCACTTTCTCTCTCTCTTTTTACCACGAATACAGTTTTTCAGTGTGATGGCCTGCGCACGCGTGCACCAGTCACGGCCTTCCATAGTGGCCCCAGTAACAATTGAGCGCGCCATGCTCAAATCAGCCAATGGCTGATACTTCGCCTGCAAGGCATTGATTTTTGAGCATGTAGCGTCATTTGTCGAGAGAGGAGAAAGCTATCTTTAGCTGACTTCGAGAATTTATTGTAAATTCCAGGCTGTGTGCTACGTCATATTACCTTGCTCACATTTTCTCAGGAGTCTCAACTACTGATCAGGAGCATTTTCTGACAATGCTCAAAAAGTGTCGCAGGGCCTCTTCAACTGGCCCAGTTTCTTTTCTTTTTTTAAGGCTAAAGCCTTATATGGCTCACCAGTAAAAAATTATGGCCTGCAACATTAAAAACAGGAAAAGTAATGTATGAAGCACTTGAAACAATATGAACGTAACAATATGAAAAGTCATGAGTCACATACCCACATTACCTGAGTAAGAACTAAAGGTGAATGAAATGAAAAGGCAGGCGAATTAAAGCAGCAGTTGATTCACAACTGATAAAGTGAATCAAATGTGAAGGAAGGTTAGTGAAACTTGAAAGACGTGTTAAATAAACTAAAGTAAAGCTGTATGAACTATTGACAGTGACATAAATGCTCGATTGGTTCAAAGTGAACTAAATGTGAATAAAATGATGTGAATGGACAGTGAATCAGACTACTGAGCATGATTTTCTCCGGTGCCTTCGTTGGCCTTATTGAAAGGAACTGTCCATGTTTCTGACAGGGTCTTTTAGGGTTTTTTTTGGGGGGGAATCGGTGTCATAGGCCATGCTAGCTACATTGTTCAGTTTTTGCAGTTGCTTTAGGTAATTGGGTGGCATTCAAAGTGCTCTTTCTGAGGAGAACGAAATTTGTAAAGTTTTGAAAATGCAAGTAAGCTTTGTCCCAATGCGTTCCTTTTAATGTTCTTCAAAAGACAATTCTATCTAGTGCACCTATTTTCGTTTAGGCGAGCATCTTGAGTTTACATCAGTGCACTTCAAAATAAAAATTGAAATAAACGTTAAACACCTAGCCTAACTCACCATACTGTTGCAGGTACCATGACACTTGACTTTGAAGCGTACCTTTGCGGTAGTGCAGGTCCTTCCAGAACAGGTTATTTCATGGCACAGCTGCTCTGAACTGCAGTGAAGCCATTAAATTTTAGAAATTTATAATTTTTGGCAGAACAAATTGTAATACTGTAATACATGTTCAAATAATTTGTGTGGGCCAGCCTGTCAATCTGCCAGTGTTTTTTTTCCTCCAATCTTTTCTTGTCACGTCAATCGAGAGAGTAATTGACCCTGACCCTTTTTTTTTTCCTCATGCGCAGTACACCATGCTATCCGGACGGGCTCCTTTCCAGACACCGAGCCGCAATGCCAGTGCGGCCGCACTGATGCAACGGATCCGCGAAGGTGATTTCAGCTTCAGCGGACCCCAGTGGGAACCCGTATCAGACCAGGCCAAGGACGTCATACGTGGCCTCCTCACCGTCGAGATTACGCAACGCCTGACCATGAATGAGCTCCGTGCGCATCCGTGGGTGCACACTCGGGGCAGCCTCTGGTCCGCCCCGCTGATGACGCCAGATGTCCTCAGCTCGTCGTCCTCCCCTCGCGCAGCAGAGTCAGGCGTGCGTGCTGCCTTCGGGGCGTTCCACCAACTTGCCACTCGCACTGGCTTCCGCTTGCTTGACGTCTCTGCTGCGCCCCTCGCCCAGCGCCGAAGGTTGAAGCGTAACTCCGCGGATTTGCGAAGTGATTCATCTGTTTCGACAAGCAGTGGAAGCTCCCTAACATCCACATCGTCTGCTCATTCCGCCACATCGCTCAATTCAGCGACGGCGGCGTCAACACGTTCGATGGGCTTTGTGCCTGCGCGCGACGACTCAACCCGAAGTGTGGACAGCGTCTTCACGTACCCGGAGACCAAGGTTGCAGCGTACCTCTCCACACTTCCTGACATGGCGGAATGTCCCAGGGGGTCCAGCACCACAGACGAAATCGATACCATAACTGGAGACCTTGCCATCACAGGCTTGGTCATGCCGCAGGCGAGGTCCGGCAGACCGGAAACTCCGATGTTGCCAGCCATTGTGGTGACCGAAGATGTGCCAGAAAAATCTCAAGGTGGCAAGGAAGCGAAATCCACTACCTTCTTGCTGCCGACAATACCGGAGACGGCCGAAGTGTCTGACAACAGCCGAACCATGAGCATGGGGAGCATCGAACAATCAATGTCACTCGATCTAGAAGGACCAGTCACACGATCTCGGCGAAAGCGGCCCACGCCAGACGAGAGTAAGGTGGCTCAAGCCATTCTCTCAGATGATGGGTCATGACAAGAGCGAACCAAATACCAAGAAATTGAAGACACGGTCTCCACTGAAGTTGTCTCCGGGCAAGAAGCAGCGGTAGCACAAGCCTAGGAACATAGCTGCATCGTTAGCATTGTTCGCGCGCACGCACCTTCGGTGGCAAAAGGGTGTAGCAGTGTGACAATGTTCATCTCCTCAGTGTAAATTCAGCTCATCACAGTCACCTTTTAATTAAAGGGGAACACAGAGAAGACTATTTATAGCAAGACATTGAATGTGTTCTCTTCAAAGAAGGGAACATTGTTGTTCGAACACATCTTTCAAAGTGCTTTCAATGATGGGGTTTTTTGTTTGTCTGTATGTGTGAAATGGCCAGTAGCACATATCTGGTGGTTGCTAGAAGTGCATAAAAAAAACTGCGGGCACGCTGCAAGAGAAAGGAATGACGAATCACCGGAATGAATGACTGCAGAAGTTGCAAATGATTCTCACATGATGTCACTGGAATGGTCATTGTCGAATAGCAGATTGTGTTGAACACTGGATGGACTCAGGTAGACTTGTGATGCCTCATCGTTAGTGGCGTCAGTGAAGATACCGAGCGAGCCTTTGTCATCAAGTTCATGCCTGGAACCATGTATTTCTGAGCGATCCGAGTGCAGAGACAGTGTGAAAGACAACTACGCAGAACTGATTTCATTAGGCTTTCAGCTAACGCTGCTTGTGGTAGAAGAAAAGAACACCGGCATGGAGTTTCGTGCGAGTGAAGGACATTTGGGTACTTACGAGACGCTGTTAATTAAGGAAAGGCGATATGCTGATTGCCATCCACTGTAAAGCTTAGACAACACATGTGATAGAGAGCTTTTCATTGCAGCCAATCTCGTGTATATCTATTTATCATTATGGCAGGTTTCTTTCCCCGTGTTTTTCGTCAAGATTGTGGCTTACCATTGGTTGCGACTGTTATCTGCCAGTTTCTGCTAAATCACCCCGCATCTTGCATGGTTTACATTTCATTAAGAGTGCCGACAAGCAACAACATTTTCACTGCTTGCCATATTCCGACTGTTAGCCACACGTTTAGCATGGCCACCATTCCTGTACAGTTCATGAGCGAGTTGTGATTGTTGAGCTGCGAATCTTGCCACCGTGTGTGTAAAAAAAAACCCAAACATATGTTTGTCTTAATCTGAGAGATAAAGGAGCTTCCGAGTTAACCTCACCTTGTCGCGTTTTTAATAGAAGCAATAGCCAGTGTTTTAGTTTATGTTAAAAGATGTCGAACGATTACTTGTGAACCATTTATTTACTTATTTCTTTACACCTTGTGACAATGTATTGCCTTTAAAAATTTTTCTACACTGACTTAGCAACCTTCTTTATAAATTGAAGTAGTTGTTTTTATGTAATCGTTTTACGTAGGCGTACTACAGCTCTACGTTGGCCGAAGCTGTCCCTGGATACCTTTCGTGATGCCTATTCTCTGCAACAATTTTTGAGCTGTCTCATTAAATACAGTGTGGCAGAAACAGATTGTTTTAGTGATGCCACACTTGAGTGTTGTTTCCTGCGCTGTTGCAAACATTGAGAAGGACTGCGCACTTCTGCCAACTCCTCCACTCGTTCTCGTTTCGCTTTCTTGTTGAATTTGTGCGCGCGGCGCATCGTTGCCTGGTTACAAAGCTGAGAAGGTATTTTTAATACAAAGATAAGGCCTTGGAATATTTACATTGGCCTCACAAGTTACCACGGAGTGGCCTTTTTTCATCCCTGCGTGCCAACCTGTTGCACCGGTGGCGAATCGGCAGGCAGTCATTGCCTTAGTCGAAGTTGACATTCTCAGAAATAAGTTGTGGCTGGATATTGTCGGTCATTAACCTTTCTGCACGTTACGCACCGCTCGTGACTTCTGGGCGGTTAGTTGACCACTGCCTCGCCTGGGAGTTTCCACTGTTATATCGCTAACCAAAAATAGGGGAGGGGGGAGTCTTCTAGAAGTGGGGAGAGTCGAGACCAATGTAACACATATAGTGGGCGCCACTGGATACAGTTTTAGGCTGTTTTCAAGGCTCTTGACATTAGAAAGTAGAGAGTAATGTTGTGACGAATTTTATACGCTCGGGGACAAAAAAAAAAGGGGGGAGGACGATACTCTTTAACGAGTGCAGAGCGGGTATGTTGCCGCACGTGAAAGCGTGCAAATGATATGCATTATGACTGACAATTTTGAAGAGTAAAAAAACTCTGTGCTTGCACTTTTGTTCAGCTTGGTAAAAGGTTAGTAGTCTTTTTAGGGACAGTTGTGAACTCTCGGATGTTCTTATGATGCAACGTTTTGAATGCTAATCCAACAGCGCTAGAGAAAAAGTTCACTACTAAATGCCAGTTGTCATGTTGCGCGAAAGATATGCTTGCATTAAGGAAACACTTGGGAAGTGGCAATTGTGGTAACTGCATTGAAAGATAAAGTTTACGAATGTTTTTCTCTTGAGGGAAGGAATGTAGTTTTGCGAATGCAGTGCTGATATGTGAAGCTAGAGTGGTGATTTTTTCTTTCGAAGGGCTCGAGAAAGGAGGGTGAGAAGAAAAGTGTGATATCGACAAGCTTGAGCGTGGTTGCACTTATTTATATATTCGTCAAATCAAGAGGTGCTCTTACACGGACTTGCCGACAGAGTTCATGACGAAGGACTCTAGTACACCTCCTGTGTGCCAACTGAGGAGTGAAAGCTGCCTTTTAGGAAGTCATTATCAAATTGCCATTGACACTTGCATCATCTAAGACCAATCCTTTCATACATACGGCTGCACTGACATGCCTGCACAAAAAAGAAAATAATCTATAAGTGTATATTCACAATCTCCGTACACACTTCCATGTCACTCGTGCGAAGTCAATGGAAGGTTGTTGTATCTGTACGAATTGTACGGACAACTTTTGGAACTGTGGAAGTGTACATGGGGAACCTTTTGGGCAGGGTAGGCACAGAAAGAAAAAGACAAATCAGTGAGATCGAGGTGGTGACGTGAAAGCTGGAGACTGTAAGCCAAGACTGGAGAGCTAGTTGCACTAGGGAAACGTAAAATATTTTTCTACCGCGGCAAAGGTCATCATGATTGCCTTTAGGCTAGGCTCCGGACGATTACGTTCAGTCGGGCGACTGCCCATTTGCAGAGGTGCACCCGTAACCTGCACTGCACGTAGGGTGCTGTCCGCAGGCATGTGTGCATATGATTGTACAGTTTAGGTGAACAGAAATTTATACTAGTTAATATTCCTTCTGAAGACAGTGCAGCAACACAGGAATGAAGAGGGAAGAAAGAACGGGACAGGCGCTGGCTTACAACCAAGAATTCTGCTTAGAAAGAATGCATAGTTTTTATACAAAAAGGAAATGACTCGTGCACATCAAACTGTTGAACATAAATAAGGGTAAAGCAAAACATGTGCTCGAATCTGGCATGTGTATGTCAACACCATGTGCGTGAAAAAAAGAACTTAGCGATCAAACGATGCTCAAAGATAAGTCGGCCCTGTCTGTGACAAGACTGAAGGGTGGCCATTGCACAGATCGTTTTCTTTAGAAATGTGATACGCTTCGATCATTTCTTTACGAGTTGATTCTTATGACGTGAATGACTGCTTCTCCCGTTCTTTTCTTCTTCGTTCTCGTGCTGTTTTTCCAGACCAATGTGATTGTATATCACCAATCTCGGTAACAAAGAACGTGAATCCTTGAAAAAACTAATCGTAGAAGCCAGCCATGGCCCCACCTTGCCTTAATCATCGAGAACAAACAGTTGTTTCTTAGACAGACAACTAGTCACAGAATGGCGCGTGTACTTTTTGTGCTCCACGAGTTTCCATCCGACGGTGTGTTCTCGTGGAGACGCCTCTCACGACGGTGATTGCACTCGAACCATTTCGGAGTAGCCAGTTCCTTTCCCGCACACTGCTTTAGGAGGAAAATGCGGTCGTGCGGTATGGGTCTTTTCTTCGACGAGGTTGAAAAAAGATGTTCGCTCGCTGCTGTGTTAACTAGTCCATCAATGAAAACCCTTGTGATAGCTTGTCCCAGGCATAAAATATTACGAGACTGAAGCCGTGCGTGTCTGTGTTCTACTGCATACCGCCTGTACGCATGGTTATTTTTGCAAAATAATGAGAGTTATTTCTTCTAACTTGCACAGACAAGATGCTCATACTGACGTACACATCCATAGAATCTCTATGCCCCCGATGTATCTTTCTTCCCCGGCAGTTGTTTAAGCGTGTACAGTAAAAAAGCTATAAGCATTATGTTTGTTGACCATTCCTTGGAAGATGTGTGAGTGCGAGTTTGTAATATATTCATGAAGTGTGAAAACTGTTATATATATTGTTAAAAACATAGATGAGAAGCAGCACAACTGAGCAAAGGCATGTAAGTAGTCATTGCACTGGCTTTTTGTTACCGCTATGATTGTTCAAAATTCATCCAGACGATTTAGCCGTGGTGCAGTGCAAATGTCGATGTGCGGGCCATGTGACAAATGTAGCATTGTCTTGAATTGCCTAGACGGTGTGAAGGGTACGTGTGCTATTCTTTTGGCAAACAGGGCACAGTGTCGCTTGCCTCACCACGTTTTTTCTCTTCATGTGCTTCCAGTATGTTTTGAGAAAGTGACGTGCAGCGACATATTAATGTTGGGTTGCTAAATAAATGTGTTTTATCAGTTAATCCCTCTGCCTCATATGTCACAATCCGGGCCCCCTCGAAAGAGAGAGTCGGAAGCTTGCACCAGTTTGCTGGAATGCTTGTATGAATGATGGCATCCTAAACGACATATTCTCAGACTTACTTGGGTGCAGCATTGCTAAGCGTGGCTTAATTGTGAGTGCAAAATAGGCACAAGGAAAACTAACACGCACACAAGTACAACACACAACAACCACATACTGCTAACTTGTGTAATGTTTCAAGAAGCTGAACAGAGATGGTGCCTGTCAGACACATTAAAAGCATGAGGTTCATGTTGTGGCATCATCACGTCTGAAAACTTATGAATTGGCGTGTGACGGCTTAATTCCTCTGGAATATAAGAATATGGAAGTGTTGTTGGCATGCTTTGGACATTTCCTTCTGATGAAACATGCCTTCACAAACTCACGAGCCATCTTGTTGTCACTCCTGCCTGAAACCTTACACAGTGTATAAAGCATGGCTCTCAAGCACAGGCATTACAAAGTTCATTACGATGTGCTCCATACTCCTTACTGTCTGTACATCTGCTTGGATAGTAATTTAACATTGGCCATGTTGTACCCCAATATGTAATATATTTCGTGGTATGAAATGCCTTTTAATTGCAGTAAGCCTTATGATGACAGAAATGGCACCCATGACAAGCAACTTATATTACAAATTGGTCCATCTGCTGAGTAATACAATTTCCTGCAGAAGATCTGTGCGAATTTCTAGCCGCATGTGACGGTGAAGCTAAGTTACTCATAAAATTGATGCACTAAGAAAAGTTATTGCTCTGGTGAATTAAGTATTGGCCAAAATAACAGCCATAAAATAATTATGTTTAAATATTCTCGCCCACTTCAAATAATACTAGTTTCCAAGGATCACCAAAGGTATACGTGTGGTACCACTGGTACTGCCCAAACCATGGTAGTAACAAATGCTTGATGTGTCAATTCAAAGTTATTTAATTTCAGTTTGCATACTTTCATAGTTTCTATGTGAGAAGCTAGCCAAAAATGCTAGT